AAAAAAACGTTTGTTCCGTGGGTGGTCGCCTTCGGTCACACCTGACAAGAATAGCATGTGTAATTGTCCATACGCGTAATATTCCTGATGCCTACCATCATAATTCTTAGAAAGATCTCCAGATTACTTTACACTTTTTTTAGAGGGCAAGTAGCACCTTCTATTTGAAAATCTAAGAGTAAACTCCATTTTAAATTTGAAGCGCATAGATATGTTAGACGTGTTCGATTCTGACCGCAAAGTACAGTTGCTGGAAATCGTTTCCAATGGCCTCAATTTTCCGTATGAAACTGGTATGGTCGCGGAGTTTTTCCATCCACGATAACCTTTATAAGGAGCCCATTTCCTTCAACAACGCTCACAGGGTGTTCCAAAATTGATGTGCGGTTGCATCGTCCTCACTAACAGAGGAAATAAATGAGACCAGTTCATGATTTATTTGCTAATGTAACCCTCACACAGCCGTATACACTACCGCATGCGCTCCGGCACGCCGCGCATCAGGAGGGTCACGTCTCTGCCCTGGCCCTCCGCCACGTTGTTTGCACGTTTTGGAACAAGGTCTTCTCTGAAGTGGCCGGGACGTCTTGCTGAGCTCCTCCTGATCGCCCTGAGATTCTCGATCGGCGATATGTGGGGGCTGTTGCCTGGCCACGTACCCTTCTCCCAGAAGCCTGGGAGGTTGGCGCGGCACCAGTCCTGGGTCTTCCTGGTGTGATGAGCTAGAACGCCGTCCTGCTGTAAAATCGCTCCCCACATGTCTGACAGGAGTTTCACCTTAGTTGGTGGGCTATTCTTCTTCCTCCGCTGCATCGCCAAGGCTGCAGTCTTCTCCAGCACCTCTATGACGTAGTAGCCGACGGTGAGGGTCTGCCCGCGCAAGACTTGGCGTAGCTAAGAAAGGTCTCTGTAGTTCATCATGCCCCAGACAAGAATCTTCAGAGGCTGCTTCACTATCTCGGCGAACAGCACCTCCAAGCTGTTGTTGGCCCAGACCCGGTTCTTCTAACGGTTAGGGGCTTGGAAGAGCTCGAAGGGTGATTCATCACTGAACAGGACGCATCTCCAGTCCTGAACGGACCAGTTCTTGCGGGTCTTGGTGAATTCCAGCTGCCTGCGCTTCTGGTACACGGTAAGCCTTGGCTGCAACCTGGGCTTGGGCGGCTTCAGTCGCAGGCTGGTCTTCAGATACTGATGGACGGCCGACTAGGAGGCTGGGTGCTTCTTCACCGTCCGTTTTCTCGCCAGGGTTCTCGTTGAGTGGCGCTTTTTGAAGGCCGGCTTTGCAATGACGATGTTCGCCAATCGACCCAAGGCCGACCTCCGCCCATGACCTGTGCGGTTTTCGAACGTCTCTTGTGAGTGGTCGCAGGCCAGCCAGCGCCTAATCGTCGCTACGTTGACGCCCAAGTCCCTGGTGACCTGAAACTGGGTCATGCAGCCCTTGACCGTCCCATTCGCGCGGTAGCGGATCGATGGCTTGTGCTCTTTCACCATTGGCGATATGCGGACTCGACACGTTGGCTATCTCAAAAGGAACGACCTATCCCGCCCGCTACCGGCCGAAGTCAGGCCGGCCGCTAGGGTCATGTGGTCGTCTGACACGGCGGGATGTCCTGGGGCCGAGCGCGGTACAATTGCACTCACTCGGCGTTCGGAAGAGAGGGAAGAATGCTAGGCCGCACCAACCGCGCATCAATTCGGGACACCCTGTACTTTGGTTGGACACATATGATCACAGTCCTGTTTATTAGACAGGGCCATTGTATTTTTCTCGTCGTATGGTACGAGGTCTTAATTTTCATAAGAAAATAAGTTCGAAAATCCAGTTAGCATGTTATTTGGACGACCACGGCTTTGGCGTGCAATGTGCGCTCCAATGACAGTACAAAAAGGCAGCGCCAAGGCC